AAGATGTAACAGTCATATTTTCTGATCAAAAAAAAAGATGTAACAGTCATATTTTCTGATCAATAAAAAAATATGTAACAGTCATATTTCTTGGAATCTTAGACTTTCTTTTAGGAAAGTGGGAGGTATTGTTAAGGACCTAAATGTTGAAGTCAACTGGGTGAGGAGTGCAAATGGCATAGCTGATTCCCTTGCTAAGCAAGGGGTCATGAGAGAAAGGGAAAAAAAGGTATCTAAAATATGTCTAGGAATATAGAGTTTCAGGCCTTGATGAGGGGCAAACTTTAGACTATCATTCATCTTATATGTTAAGATTCCCAAAACTCTGAATAATGAATACGGTGTGAATTATCAGGAGAAGAAAGACATTTTTCCTCCATTATCAAGTTGTTCACTTGTTTTTTTTTTCGACAAGTAAAATTCCATTCAAAAGAAAAAAAAGTCTGAGTAGGTTTTAAGACAACACCTAACAACAAAAACAAGTAGAAGACTAAACATCCTTAATCATTCATAATACAATTTTGCAATCCCACCACCTCCCATAAACTTCCCCCTAGGCCTCTCTCTTGACCTTTGAAAATTCAAGCAACATCAAAACCCAGTCAGCAACAGATTTGCCATCAGCCACGACCAACTTGTCCAGCTTCCATAACTTGTCTTCAAAACATCTTCAATTCCTTTCCTAGTATTCCAGCAAACGGAAAATCGAAGACAGCTCCAACTTATTCTGGCCATCTTACCTCCTCTAATTCCTGGCCATGAGGACTGCAGGTATGAACTTTCTCACCAAACTCCTTACTAACACCCTCCTTCCGTTTCTAAGACTCCCACCATTCCAGGATAACAGTCCCGTTTCAGTCTCAACCTCCACTATCCCTCCTATCTTTTTCTTCAAACAGCCCCTTCGCTCTTCTTCTACCAAATCATCTTCCCTCTCTTCTTCCACTCCACACCCCCTCCCCTAAGACTTTTTTTTCTTCTCTTCTGCTACTTTCAAACTGCTCAATTGCCCTTCTAACCACTCTCACCACTCCCAAAAAAAATAAATAAATAAACCAAGAGATTTACCCACCTCCACCTGTCTCTCCACTAGCTTCTCAATGTCCACCCTTTCTCCCCTAAACCTCTCATTTGAAACCTCCTCCCCCTCAAGGCCCTCAACTGCCTCAACCCCCCCTCCTTTACCCCATCCCCCAAGACCTCTTGCTCTCACACTTCCCCTTATCAGCCCCATCTTCATGATTTCCTTGATAATTTATTCTTCTTTTTTCTGCTGTAAACTCTTCTTTGCTATCCACAACTTTATTCCAAGTTAGTAAGCTTTCTTTTTCTTATGTTTCTCCTTTCACCCTTCTCTTCAGCTCTGATTCCCTCCTCCCTTATCTTATTGACTTCTTCCAATGTCTTTGAAGAGAACAAGGAATTCAAACTCAACTCAGCATTCAGACAGGGAATGATCTCTAATGATCTTGAACCAGTCACAAACTTTTTCGTTCTTCTTGCCGTCACTGTAAAGTTCACTAGACTAGCACTGCCTCTCTCCCTATCTTTAGTTTCTGCAGTCCTTGAGACTCTTCTCCCACTATCAATAACAGGTTTTGGACACTGGACCGCAGTCAGCAACACAATCTGGATCAAAGAGATGCCTTCCTGTTCTTGGTTAAAACTGTAGAGTTGAGCAACCACTTCCTCTTCAAGCACCAACTTTCTTTTCAGTTAACGGTCATCCGTGTGTAAGTTGGTCTCCTCATATTGATTTGCTTCACTGCGATCCAACAACGCAATCTTCCTTCCTCAAATCTCACAACCACGCAGAGACATCCATCCATTGAGCTCTCAGACCTGATTTTTACTTTCTGTCTCTCTCGCTTCTCCAACCGATCAGCCCCAACCTTTCTTTCCCAAAAATACCCCTTAACACCCACAACCACTTGTGTCAGTTTGCTTTTTTAAACTCCTTACTAATTTCTTGAAGTAGTGGTGCCCCACACCTAATTTCCTTTGTGTGAAAACCTCCTACCATTTGTATTTTATCTGCCCCCACTCTAATTTCACCCAACCCTTGATCTTCTATCTTCTTAAAACTCTCCTCCTCCACGTGGACATCTCCCACCCATCCACTTGAACTCATGATTTCCACACATCCAACTCTTACTTTCTCCCCTGCCACTTCATCCTTTTTCTTCTTCCTCTTCACCCACAACCCAACTCTTCAGCTCCCAATCTTCCTCTGTCTCCTCCAATACCCTGCTACCTGAGGCCTCTGCACCTCTGTCTCCTCCCTCCTCTCCCTTATCTCCTTCCTCTTCTACATTCTTCTGCTCTTCCATCAAACCCTCCTCCCCCGCTCTTAAGAACGTTCCGTCATCCCCTTCGAATATTACTCCCAGGCCATAGCTTTCACCTGCAAACTTAAGAACCACCTATATGTGATAAAACATAAAAGTGGCATCCTCAACCTCAATCAAGATTCTCGCCATGTCCAGTTTTTCCCAGGGCCTATTTTTGTCACCATACTTCAAGAATCTTCTGCACCAGTTGCCTATCTCTTCAAACGTTAGAATACTCCATGCGTGTAAAGGTATGCTGATCACCCCAATCCACACTGCCCATCTCCATCTACCTTCAGACACTTCTCCTGCCACCGGGAGCCACCAGTCAAGTTGCAGATCAAGGCACCTCTTTTTTGATCTCTCATATTCCATAACAGTACACACACCGCTGCCTGACTATTGTGGAACATGAAAAGCATCAGACCTCTGTTCAACTTCCTCACCCCCATAACCCTCTCTTCCCCATTCTAACCCCACCCAATCTTCAACTTTCTCTACCTACTCTGCCAGCCAGGCTATCATACACCACCCTCAGTCTTTCTTGCAACTTACCAACCACCCTAACGTCAACATTCACCTCACCTCCATTTGCAGTCCAAAGGATCCCATACCATGTATATGGAGCAGATGTTGCATAAATATTCCTGCCTTGTAAAGTTGCATTGTAAGGAACTAAAAGGAAAACATTTTGTTAGATCCTTATTTGTCTATGTATTGCTTGTGGAGTCTCAGGGAAAAAGAATCAAAAGAATATTCCTTGTTTCAAGTGGATGTATTCTGGAGATATATATGGATGTGGCTTGGCTTCCTTAAAAGAAAGAAATGGGACTGCAGGAAACTATGTACTGATATTTGAAACATTACCCTAGAAGGGAAGATCACTAATCCAGAATTTGAAGATGTGGAGAGATCTTTCAGATTGAACTTTCGGTCTATCTTTTGATATTGTCAATGGTGGTTTTCAACTTTCTTTCTTCATTGTCCATGTACTATGTTAGGATTTGAATATTTACCTCCACACTCTATCTACCCTGATCTCTTTCTTTCTCAAAGAAAATTTTCCTTATTTACCATCCAAAAAAACAGAATTTGATCACCACAAAATCCTAGAATGCACTTGATTTCTGCTGCAGCATCAGAACACTCACAAATATATTATTGTTTTCCCTGGTATCAATCTTATTGCATTAGGCTTGTTTTGCTATTTGAAATGGACAGTTTTTCAATAAAAGTACACACCACTTCACCAAAGGCCAACAAATCCCAGATACTTTATAAGAGAAACAGAAAAGACACTTTCAAATCTGCTCACTCAACCAATAAAACATTATAATCTCAGAAAAGGGGGGAAAGGACTGATGAAGTAAAACTGGACTAATCACAAAATGCTTTGGCAAATGCAATAAAAAAGGAAAATGGAAACAATAGTCATTCACCAAGGAAGTTAGCAAGAATAAAAATTCAAACCCAAAAGTACATGACATATGTAAATAAGTACCAAATAAAGTATAAGGAGTCACAACCACATAGCACAAACTCTAAATATTAAAGATTTAAAGAAACCAAGATACCGTGGTGACAGACACAAGTACCTCAAAATAATGGGAATGGATAAGCTCAGTCAATATTTTCCTGAACCGCAAACTTAATGTCCCTGTAATATACTTTGAGGTGGAAAACAGGGTCGACTGAAGGAGACATAGGAAAAGATTTTCAATTATCAGACGTAGAAAGGATGGGACACGTCTTAGAAAAGCAGCACGAAATAAGAAGCCTTGAACTTTTGCTAGCCTATTACTCAGTGCAGTCCGCAGTGCCTGAAAAATGAACAGTAATGTAAAGCCTAAAGTCAGCACCCTCCCATCCATATACAAAAAACAACTTTCATACATTTCAGACAAAAGTCATACCACTATAGCCACTAAAGCTAAAAGGTCCCTTGCACCAATTTGACCCATGTGAGAGAGAAGGATTGCAGCCAGAACTTGAAGTGATTTCAATCCTCCTTTCTTTTGCCTAGTTTTCTTTACAATACCATCATTGCCATCTGCTTTATTTGTTTTCTCTTTAAAATTAACAGGTCCAACATAAACATCTAAAGAATCAGGACTTGTAAATCTTCTCTGCAGTCGTAGTTGCAGGTACACAGCTGTTCCACCAGCAACTATGATGCCTGTAGTCAGTGCCAAGGCTCTCCTGTTTGGCAATAAGAAGATTATAAGAACTCTACAATGTGCAGAAAGAGTTGGGGAGTGTGTACTGTACTTTGTCTCAAAAAATATATATTATCCATAATTGGAAAAAAAGACATTTAAATGAAATAGAATTTACATTCATCTAATTCAACTGGTAGAAGTAAAATGGTACCAACTGAACAAAATACAATCACATGACATATTCATATATTATCATCATTATCATAATTTTTTATAACTTCTCCCAACTATACGGAGTCGGCCACATGAATACTGTTTTACCATTCCTTTCTATTCATATATCTAAAAGCTATTCACATGGACATGGTTATAAGTGTCAGAAATTAACGAAGGTATGAAGTATTAAAAAGCCTGAGAAATAGGATTCAGGGACTCAGCAGGCATACTCTAACTTTTAAGTTTTTCTTTGAATAATACGTGTTTTATTTAATATAAAAATAGAATACTTGGTAGAAAAGAAAACAAATTAAATGGAGAAGCATAAATCAATGCAAACAACACTAAACAACTACAACAAATGATTGATTATTTAAGTTATCAAGTATTTCAAATTCAAATTGCATGCTCGTATTTCATCTCAAGACATCAAGGTTCTTTAGTCAGATATTAAGGATTCAACAAAAAAAAAAA